TCCACAATCTGTCCTCATCCTAATCCCCAGAACCTGTGAGTTACGTACCCCTCCATGACAAAAGTGACTCTGCAGGTGTGATTAAGTTAAGGATCTTGAGATGGGGAGAGTTCCTGGAAAATCCAGTGAGCCCTATATAAGCACAAGGGCCCTTATAAAAAGGGGGCAGGAGGGTCAGAGCCAACGAAATGGGATAATGGAGGCAGGGGTCACAGAGAAAGATGTGAAGACACCCCACGGTGGGCCTTGGAGACAGAGCAAGAGGCAACAAGCCAAAGAAGGTGGGCAGCCCCTAGAAGCTGGAAATGGCAGAGACCGGTTTCCTCTAGAGTCTCCAGAAGGAACTCAGCTCTGCTGACACCTTGACTTTTGAACTTCTGATCTCCAGAACCCTAAGATAAGAAATTTGTGTTGTTGCCAGCCACCAAGTTCGTGGTGATTTATTTAGTAGCACTAGGAAACAAAGGTAGTCTACAGCAGTCTAGAACAATGTTGCCTGTCCAGGGGACACTTGGCAAATGTCTGGAGACATTTTGGGTTGTCACCTGGTGTCTAGTGAGTGGACAGCAGGGCTGCTGCTAACCATCCTTGTGTGCACAGAAAAGGCCCCACAACACGGAATCCATCATTCAGCTCAGCATGCTAAAAGTGCCAAGGGATCCTGGTTCGGCATGATTCTGGAGGAAGGCCTTCCCTGATCCACTCTCCCTCCTGTCCTCTTTAAAAGCAAGTCTCCATGCATACCATTTCTGGTATTTCTTTTGAATTGAGGGAATCAGCTTGCTTCCCTATGAGAATAGCAACCCCCAGCCCAACCCAAGGAGGTAAGTCAACATTTGCTCTGCCAAGTCCCATAAAAACGTCACCGCACTCCACTGTGCTGTGCTTTGCGCCTACAAAATTGTCACGGAGCAAAGGCAGTTTTTACTGTTTTTAAAAAATGAGAAAAATGCAAAGCACAAAATACTTCAAGCATAGCTTCCATTCACAAAATGCACAAGAGAGCCTGAATTTTCATTTTGAGTCGTTTGCTGGGCACCCTTCTCATGTATGTACCCAGAACACTCTATACTCCTGGCAGGCCAGACCAGGGATACCGCCCGTCTCACTTCTCAGGGGAACTCTGTGTTTAGATAGCCTCTCCGCAGCCAGACCTTGTGGGCATTTGGAACAAAAGGGGCCGTGTCTTACTCCTCTCCAGCTCCCAGCCAAGAGCACAATGCCTGGCACACACCGGGTTCTCCATAAACGCACGTTGCATGAATAACTAGAGAAAAGTTGTCAGTGTCTACAGATATCATGGGCATCCGTGGAGTGGAGGGACTACCAGTTAAAATGACAAGGCATCTGGGGGTTAGCTAGCCCGAGCCACAGCTGAGATCCTGAGTGGGAAACCCTGGATCATGGGGAGGCCCTCAAAAAGACCTTAGGACTAGAATCCGGCCCACCACGCTTTTGGGGCAGACAGATCTGGCTTTAAGTCCCGCCTCTGCCACTATTAGCAGAGTGACACTGGGCAAATTACGGAACCCCAGTCTCATCGGTAAAATGCAGTCATCCAACAAAGTGAAGCAGAGCGAGCAAAGTGGAGAAGAGGTAGGAGAGGTGGCCAAAGGCCAGAAAAAGCTACTGTAACACAGACAGTTGTGTTTATGGTCCCCTGCCCTGCCATGGACTACATTTCCCAGGATCCTGTGCACCTAGGTGGGGCCTAGGTGGGGCCATGTGACTGCACTGGGGCCAATGGAATGTAGGCATAAGTAACTGAGGCTGTACCAGGCAGTCCAGTTTCCACACCCTGGTCAACTTTCCCTCCACTGCAATCCTGCCCTTTGACACATAGCACAGAACCGATCCACAGTGTTTCAGTGCCATTTACAAAGCACTTATGCCATAACTCCTCTCAGCTCCCCAGAGGACACAAAGCCTGGCCTGCCCTCCCTACCCACTCCACTCTTCTCATCCTTCAGGCCTCAGGTTAGATGACACCTCCACCAGGAAGCCTCCCCTGAATGCCAGGAGGTAGGCACTATTAGCTTCATCAGACAAGATGAAGAAAGGAGACAAGAAAACTGAAGTTAAGTAACTTGCCCCAAATCATGTGGCTAGAAAGTGGGGGAACTGGGTGTGAAGCCAATGTAGGCGGAATCCAATTAGCGGTCACTTGCTAAACCGGTCATGGGACCACTATCAGCAGGGGCCTCACCTGCAAGCTTGTTAGATGTGCAAATTCACTGGCCTTACTCTGAATTAAACTCTGGAGGTGGACCCAGCAATCTGTGTTTAAAAAGGCTCATCAGGTGGTTCTCATTTGCCATGAAGTTAAAGAACCAATGGTCTAGACATTCTCTGCAGCTGAACCTCCTGTGGAGTCCTAGGTCTAGAAAATGTCATAGCTGAAGAACTGAACACTGTCCACCTTCTGACTTTTCTAGCCATTTGAAATGCTTCTCTGGGTATCCCCAGCCCTGGGACTTTGGGGACCCAGAGACCGTCATCTCCTTTTATTATTCGCGTTAGTGACTCACTGCTTCCTTTGTTTGAAGCCTTCTTGTTTGTGCCCATCAGCCTTGGGTACAAAGGTTTAATCCAGCAATGTTTACAAATTCAGTCACAGGACACCTGGGTAGCTCAGGCGGTTAAGGTTAAGCATCTGCCTTCGGCTCAGGTCATGAACCCAGGGTCCTGGGATCCAGCTCTGCAGGGTTCCCTGCTCAGTCGGGAGCCTGCTTCTCCCTCTCCCTCTCTGTCCCCTGGCTTGTGCTCTCTCTATCCCAAATAAATAAATAAAATCTTAAAAAAAAAAAAAAATCAAGTCATTTTCATCCCATGATGGGCACCATAATCACCTTTTAGAACATTCTGAGTTTCTCAGTTTACTAAGGCAATAGTCTGCAGCTTCTTGATCAGCGGAACTGACTTCTCCAACACAAAAACTTGTATTTTTTATCTGGCCAGATAGCTGGTATTACTTTGGATATAGTCCTGAGCATCAACTTCTTCTGTTTCAGCTTTAAGAAGAACTGGACCAGAAAGAGTGCCCTCCTAGAGAAGGAGCTTGAACAAAACCAGGTTTCTGCTGCTGACCCTCAGCTTTCTTCCACACTGTTCTCAGTGTCCCGGCAACTGGCCACCAACCCTGCCAAGAACGGTAAGGGAGCCTGGGAAATTCACGCAGGCAATACCCCAGGAAGAGGAGAACGGGAGTATTGGTAACTAATTGCCATCTCTGTCACATAATACATTTAAAACAATTTAAAATAAAATCAGGGATATATCCTTCATCAGTCAAAAAGCAGTGTTCTGTCACCAAAAGCACAAAAGAGAGAAACTGCAAATCACAGAATGTACACAATTAATCCTATGTCATCTGAGACCATTTCAAGTGACCTTCAGGCCCCCACTTCCTGCCTCCCCCAACCCCTGCAGACGATGAGAACTTGGGACCCCTGTGATGTGGTCTGGGAATGCAGGTGAAGTTCGGGGGTGAGGTCTGGAGCCCATGACCAAGAAAGAATTCTTGAGACTTCTTTGGTGCAAAATGGTGGCTTATGAAAGCATGGGGACAGGACCAGGAGGCAAGGAAGAGCTGCTGCCCCAGGGTTGTGAGGGGCTCACTGTTTACATACTATGGAGTTGGGGGAGGTGAGGAAAAAGGGAGGTTTCCCAAAGAACTTCCATATGAGAAAGAAGACTCACAGGATATCCAAGGCCTTGCCATTGTTAAGGTTGTTTTTCCCTTTAGCAAGGCATTAACATGAAGATAGTTGGGAGGTTCCTGGAAGAATGTCACGTGTCCCACCCAGGAGTGGGGGGGTGGTGGTGAGGGTTGCAGGGTGTCAGCTTCTACTTTGTCTTTAGCCAGCCTCCTGCTCCCTCATCACCTGCACTCCCCTCTTTGAGACGAGAACTCAAAGAAGGGGGGGATGGCAATCCCAACTCTGTTACACCTGAATTCACATCATCCAGAAGCTTTATCGTATTTGTTAAGCTAATACACGAACAAACATGAATGTGTGCACACGCTATCTCTAAACCCTACCTCCTTCCACTGGCATCCTTCCAGATCAGCTCAAACTTCACCTCCTCCAGGAAGCCTCCCCAGACGCCCCCCCCCAACACACACACACATACACAGCCGGCAACGCCAGCTCCCATCTTCTTGCTCTCCAAGGCCACACCTGGTGCACCTTGCATGTTAGTCATCTGTTAGACAACCCTGGCCTCGGTTTCCTCCTCTGTAAAATCAGAGGGCTGGACTATGTCACTCAGCTTCCGGGCTGAAATAATGGCCCCAAGGCAGGCAGCACCCAGGGCCGAGGACCCAGAAGTCAGGCTCCCAGAGCGTCCCCACAGCAGACGTAGCGGCCCATCTGTCATACTAGGGACGCAGCTGTGTTGGCTCCCCGCAATCCTCCACCCGGGCACAGACAGATCTAGGCCGGGACTTACCCGGGAGGCCTCCACCTGCGCGCCGCCACTCGCCTATCAATGCCCGGCCCTTGGCGCACATGTTCACGGAGCCTGCCAACACCCAAACTCCCTCCCGCAGCCAGCAATGCAGCAAGGGCGCGTCTACACTGTCCTCGAGGTTCCAGGAATTCAGGCCTCTTGTTCAGGGGCCAGGGGAGGGGATGTGGCTAGTGGCCCTGCAGAGACAGGAAAGCGGCGCTGCCCGCACGCTGTGCGGGTTCTGAGGCGTCCCGGGCGGAGGCCCCTAAACCGCCCCTCCCTGCCGACTGTGTGCCAAGTTCCCAAAGACACCTCCGTTAATCTGCATGGCTCCCCCCCTTCTTTTACAGAAGCAACCACTGAGCCCCAAAGAGTTGAAACCTGAGAAGCAGCGCCCCCGGTACGCACACACTCTTTCTGCGCCGCCTCTGACCCCACTTCCAAGCCCCGACCCAACGCGCTCGAGGCGCCGGCGCACCGGGGCGTCCCAGGCCTGCAGCGCCGGATCCCGGTCCCCATCCGCCTGGCTACTCGCCGCCGGCACTTACCTCCCTCGGGCGGACAGGCCCTGCAGCCGCTGCCCACGGCCGCGAAGATCCAGAGGAGTTGGCAGAGGCTCGCGGCCCGGTGCTCCAGGGTGCAGGGCGGGCGGACCCCCCGAGAGTGCCGGGGAGCAGAGAGCGGGGCGCAACGGATGGCGCCCTGGGGAGGCAAACCGGGGCCGCGCAGGGCGGTCGGGTAGAACTCCGGGCGCGGGGGCCGCCGGCACGACCCCGGGGCGCGAAGGGCCGCGTGCCTAGGGAGGAGGCGCAGGCGACAGTCAGGGGAGATGGAGCAGCACCACGGCGGGGCGTCCGGCGTCGGATCCGGGCTGGAGGGCGGCTGGCACCAGCCTTGGGGCAGGGGCGGGGCTCTGGTCCGGCGGGCGCACGGCGCTGCGCGGCGCTCACGTGGCCGCCCCCCGGTGGCCGCCCGCGCTCCTGCAGCCGCCGGGAGGGTCTCTATGCTCCAGTGCAAAAGCGCGCTGAGTCCGCTCCGCGCCGCCTGCTGAGTACACGGCGTCCGCACCTAATGCGAGGGGCGGGCTTGGCACCCACCCGCGAAGGGGGCGCCCTCCCGGCGGGTAATCCGCGAAGTCCTTTCCAAAATCAGTAGAAACCCATCTCATTAAGTCTCCATGGGTCATCGTAAATATTTTTTTTATCGGAAATTGCTTTTTTTCCTTCTTCTAAGTTCTGCTTGGCAAAAACTTAGGCACTTATAACAACTGCAATTATTTGTGTAATAATTTACAATCCCCTCTAGACGTTCCTTACCGTTCTAGCACATTGCCGTATTCCTAACTCCCTGCATGGGGCTTGGCACGTGCTAAATGCTTAAGAATTATCCGTCCAGTGGATGGATGAATACGGAAAGGTATAAAGAAGAAAAGGATACAAAACTATTAAAAACTACTGTGAACATGTTGATACTATATCCTTCCAGATACTCTTCTACTAAAATTTTAGAAATTCCACAACTCTTACTTAAGTATAAAAATAAGTGGCATTTATTGAGTGATTTATCTCATTCTATCTTCACACCAACCCTGTGAAGTAGGTTGCATTTTATTTCTATTTCACAGATCATAAAACTGAGGGTCTTAGAGGTAGATTTGCCCAAAAGATTTACTTTCTTTCTTTTTAAATTTTTTTAAGTGTAAGTAATCTCTATACCGAACATGAGGCTTGGACTCAAGGCCCCGATTCAAGAGTTGCAGGCTCCTTCAACTGAGCCAGCCAGGTGTCCCTGCCCAAAAGGTTTCTGCGGTGGCTCCTCTTGGCAAAGGGTATCTACATTTTAGGAGCTGGAGGGCACACTGAGTCTTTGCCCAGGTGAAGGCCAGCAAACAGAGTCCCCTGGCAGAGCAAAGGTGTTACGGCCTCTGTGGGGAGCAGGTTCAAGTTTATGCAGCTTGGGGAGGAGGATGACATATAGGTGACATCTCATAAGGGGGGGAGGGGGATGGAAAAAATGAAATGGTCTTGAAACACATCACTCAGTGTTTTATTCTTTGGCCTCGGTGCTACAAGTTTTGGAAAATACAAAAGCTAACAGATGTTTTGGTTTGAAGTGTTGGCTCCTTTAGTCATCTTGGGAAAACTCCTCTGGCTTTTGGCAAGACAAAACTGCACCTGAAATTCTGACTGTGGGAAAGCTGGGCAGGAACAGACTCTGAGTTGATCTGTCCAAATTCAAAGCCAGACCAAACAAATAAACAAACAAACAAAACACACACAAACACACAACACTGTTTTACTGAACCACTGATAGCTCTGTGGCCTTGGGCAAGTTATTTAACTCCTCTGAGCCTCTGTAATTTTTGTCCCCCTTCTTTGCATGAGGATCTTGATTAGCCTTTAGGAAACCAGCCCACTCCATTCTTAGTGGGGAGCAAAGCCCTCACCACTGACTTGGGGCCAAGAGTGGACACAGGACAAGACTTGGTCAATCAGCATATACCATCCCTTTAGCCCAATGAGATCCTAATCTGGATCTTTTCTAGCAAGCATAAAAAAAGAGAATCCCTCTTTTTCAGAGAGTTGTTGAGCTGGTAGGATTTAAGCCTAGGGTTTCTGAACATTCATTCTTTTTTCTCTTTTTTAAAAAGATTTTATTTATTTATTTGACAGAGAGATCACAAGTAGGCAGAGAGGCAGGCAGAGAGAGAGGGGAGAAGCAGGCTCCCCACTGAGCAGAGAGCCCAATGCAGGGCTCAAGCCCAGAACCCTGAGATCATGACCCGAGCCAAAGGCAGAGGCTAAACCCACTGAGCCACCCAGGCACCCCTGAACATTCATTCTTACAGAAAATATTTATTAAGTTCTTATTGTGTGCCAAATATTGTGCTACGCAGCTCTAATGGGGTAAGAAATGGGAGAACAGAAATTTCTCACATAGTCATGATGCCACGACTTAAACCGCCAGCCATGCCATGAGTGAGAAGCGTAGCAGGCAATGAGAGATGACATGGGCAAACCTGCTCAGGAAGCCTCTTCTGAAGAAATGACATCTGAGTGGAGCCTGGAGGGAAAAGTAGGTGTTACTTCTGGGAGCTTTAGGAAGACAGGTGCCCTGGGTGGCCTCAGCAAGGAGATGTGGATCAGATCATTCTCGGATTTTGCCTGGTCCTTAATCTCCTATACCATCACACAGAGGTATTCAGACTTTATAGTAAAGAATTTGGGTAACCAAAAAAGGATAGGAAGGAAAACATTACCCCATACCGGTGATGTCACAGCACGCAAGAGGAAAAATAAACCATTCACAGGGATCGGTCATCGGCACACTCCAGCTCCAAGCCTTGCTCCTCTGTCCTAAAACCTGCCCTTCCGTCTCTCACACGCACAAACATCTCTTCAAGTTTCTCCCCTCCCTCCTCCTGAGCCTATGGCTCAGGTCATGATCTCAGGGTCATGGAATCGAGCCCTGTACTGGGCTCCGTGTTCAGTACAGAATCTGCTTATCCCTTTCCCTCCACCTTCCTCTCTGCCTACTGGTGATCTCTCTCTCTCTGTCAAATAAGGAAATAAGTGGGGATATGGACATTGGGGAGGGTATGTGCTATGGTGATTGCTGTGAAATGTGTAAACCTGGCAATTCACAGACCTGTACCCCTGGGGATAAAAATACATTATATGTTTATTTTAAAAATAAATTAAAAAAAATAAAGAAATAAAATATTTAAAAAAAGAAAAGAGTCACACGCTCTACTGACTGAGCCAACCAGGAGCCCCTACATTACCAATTTCCACAGACAAAAAGCACCTTCCTTTACTAAAGCTTTGACAAGAGTTTAACTGGGTGGAGACATTAAAAGTGATTTTGCTTTCTTATTTGTGCTTCTCCTTCTTTGCTCGAGTTTCAACAAAGAACACATATTACTTTTGCAAAAGTTATTTTTAAATGTCACGTCAAAACCCGAGCTCTTACAAAATGAAACAGGCCAGTTGTTTTGGTTTCTGGGGCCTCCCCACCTTGCCTGGCTGGGGCTGGCTTTGCACAGAAGCTTCCCTTTCCCAAACAGCACCCTTGAAGACGTCAGTCACCAGAGAAGCTGGGTCAACATGTCCATTGGGGGCCAGACAGGCCTGGAGAGAAATGCTTGGTGGAGCAGATGAGCTCATGGCGTTCCTTCCACTGGATTTTTGGCATGAGGGTTCTGGGCAGCTCTGCAAGCAGCTCTCCTTCTCCCAGAAGACCTGCTCTTTGCCTGAGCAGGTCAAGTAGGTATAGGATTAATGTTCACTTGAATTCAGTTATCAGAGAGAGAGAGAGAGTTGGGGTGGGGGAAGGTTGCTCCCAGCACATGGTCCAACTATAGGAGAATGCTGGGTCATTAGGGGGGATTCTTAAATAAGGCTCTACTTCCTGCTTGTGGCTCCTTTTGGATCCTCCAAAAGAACAGACCCCAATTTGGCCACCTCCAGACAAAAATTCTGTGAGATCTGTGAGATCTTCCAGCCAGAAGCGTTTGTCTCTGAGTTTGGGGCCACACAGCAACTTGGAGTGGCCTTAACCAAGCATGCAAAACCACTGGTACGAGGAGGGTTCTTGTGGCCAATACTGTTCTAGGTCCTGGGGTTATAGCTTCCGGTGAACAAGACAATATCTGGAGATGACATTCTAGCAGACATCCTGGTCTGGTCCTGGGAGAGACTCAAACACCTTCTTAAGGCAGGGGTAGGAGATGCACGTGGATAATACCACCAAGTGGTCAGGAGCACCCAGCCAAGAACTCTGGTGGTGAGCACAGTGAGGTGCTGGGAGGAGAGCCTAGGTCCCTGGGAGTCACCACCACCACATTCACATTACGTACATTTACAAACATAACACAGCCCTTCCTGAGTGGCTCAGTGGGTTAAACATCCACCTTTTGCTCAGGTCATGATCCCCAGGGTCCTGGGATCGAGTCCCACATTCCTGCTCTCCCTCTCCCTTTGCTCCTCATCATCTCTTTCTCTGTCAAATAAATACCAGAAGTCTTTAAGTGCATGATATACATTACCACGTTCAATTTTCTTCTGCTTCATTCTGGTGTAGCCAAGTGCCCAGAAGAGTGCCTGACCCCCTGCAGGTGCTCAAGGTATATCTGCGAATGAATGAGTTTGATTCTCACGGAAATCCTGGGTATTACTACCTCCCCATTACAGGGATGAATAACAGGTCTGGGGAGAAGTAGTTTTTCCTAAGGTCACACTGCTAGTCAAGGCTCAGGCTGTGTGATTGACAAGCCCATAGGCTGGTTTATCCACCGTATTGGATTCCAATGACTGCTCTCACAATTTTCCACAAATTTAGTGGATTAAAACAACACAGCCCTCTTATAGCTCTGGAAGTCAGAAGTCACTTGTGTTCCTTTTTGTAAGCTCTAGGGGAAAAGGTGTGTCCTTACCTTTTATAACTTCTAGGGCATTTCCTGGCTTGTGGCAGTATCACTGGGACCTCTCTTTCTGTCTTCAAATCTGATTCCTGCGTCTCTCTTCTAAGGACGCTCTTGATTACACTGGATCCACCTGGATAATCCACAATAATCTTCCCATCTGAAAATCCTTTATTACACTAACAAAGTCCCTTTTGTCACATAAAGTAACATACAGGTTCTGGGGATTTGGATGTGGACATCATTGGGGGCGGCGGCATTTCAGCTTACCACATCCACCTGTGTATCTCTACTGTACTGTATTTTTGTTATC